CATGTGTGCATATGGGTGGGGGTAGGATATTTTTTTTTTTTTTTTTAGCAGTTTTCTTCCTCGTTCAGCTTGGCTTCAGTATCTTAGAGATGACTGGAATACAAACTGAATGTTTTCTTTAAAAGGAACTCTTAACCATATAACAGTTTAAATTAGCAAAGATACATCTGAATTGTTGTGTTAATCCTACTAAGGTTGCCAGAAATTTTCCATATCTTTAGAACTTTTTATGGGTACCTGAATTGAAGGACAGATATTAATCCTAGATCCTTCAACAACAATATTAAGCACCTTTGAGCTCCAAAGGTGAGGCATTAGTCAACTGTGATGAGTGCAGAGACGCTGTTGAGAAATTAGTTCTGTGCTAGCTAGCTGAGAGATTGGTTATCAGCGAAGAAATATCCCCTTCTATACGCCCATAAAATGTTTATCAACTTTCTTGTAAATAAAATTTCCTATAGAGGCATTAGATCCATAGGACTGCATAATAAGAAACAGCAACTTAGTATAGCCAGTTATGAGCCCAAACAAATTTTAGGATACTTTGGGATAAATTATAATATCAGAGAATGATTCACCTGACATGTTTCAGCCATTCTTCATGCAGAAAGGTGCAAAAAACACCTCATAATCCTTACCAGCATTTGATAGTAATCTGGGAAGTTTTCTAATATGAATTGTTCAAACGTGGTTAGTGTTTAAACAGTGATCTGACACATATTGCACTACTGTGTGGGAGAATAACAGGGAATCTTACTAACTACGTTTCAGTTCCAAAGTATTTTAAGATTAAAATGGTTATGTAAGGTCATCCCACAGATCTGCTGCTAAGATTTGACCCACAGAAGCTAACAAAATGACACATTGTAAATGTATTACTAGGCTATATTAATATTAGGTTTATGTCTTTTCAACAAAACATATATCTTTAAAAGGTCTGCAGTCTAAACTTCTTCCTTACACAGTAGTCCTTACACAGACAAACTTCACAGTAACTTCAGTTGTAGTCTTGTCTAAAAAACTTTTGGGATCTGGCTCAAAATACGGAAGAAAACCAAACTGAGGTACTTTCATTAGTTCTCTTAGGTTTGAGATGTTAGCCATACTTGTTATATGCTCACCTTTCTGTTTTTGAATATTGTTGTACATAAGGGGCCAGAGTCTATTCCACCCATTCGGTGTGGGTGTGGATGTAAGTGCTTCAGTGCAATCCTATTTCACCCTGAATAGTTTCTGAAAAACTGTGAATTCAAAAGGTGAATGGGTCCTCCTTATCGTCACTAGTTTTCTGGGTATTTTTTTTCTGTGACTATATTTAGGGTAAGCTCAAGCTTCTCCACACTAGCTAGTCAGAAGGTGAGGCATGGTGGCACCTTAGAAACAAGCATGGCTAATTTCCTGTACTATGGAAGAAAAAATCCTGTCTAATATAACTTATTTTTCCACTGCCAGGACATGATCCCTTTATGAATTCAGCTTTGTTAACTGTTCTCCGGCAAGAGATTGACCAATTTAATCATTTACTGGCTGTAGTAATTCTGTCATTGCAATCACTTCAACGTGCTGCTAAAGGGGAGATTGTCCTCACCCAAGGGTTAGAAGAGCTTTATCACTCATTGCTGAGATCCAGAGTACCTGAGCTTTGGCAGGTAAGGTTGAATCCTCACAAGCGACACGTACAGCATCTCTCATTCATAGATCTGTGTGTGTGCGCACACACACACGCTTTCGCTCTGGTGAGAGTGATTATCCTGGAAACTTTTGAACTTACTCTGTAAATTCAGAGCCCTAGACGTTTTGCGTAGGGCTCTTCAGAACAGGCTTATTATAGTAGAGAAAGTTCAGTTCAGGAAAAGTGACAGAAGTAAAGTTCTGAGTAGAATTAGTTTTTTTTTTGGTTTGCAAATTTCTTGTTGTTTAAAGAAAAAAGTAAAGATTTGTAAAAATCTCTCTCAACATTTTTTATCAAATCAAAACTTTCTGAATATTCACATTTATATTGATGTTTTAACTTCTCTCTTTTTTTCCTTTCTATATGGTAAAATAAATTTTGTTTAAGAAGTTTTCCCCCCAATTTTTCATTCTTTCATTTTCTTTTTGGTGCTCCAACTTTTCAAAACATCTTCAACTTTGGGGAATTCCCAGAAAGGCCTATGGAAAAATAAGTTTTAATCTTTGTAACTATAAAAGTAGGAGAAAATGTTAAAAGTTGCCTAGCATCAGAGTTGGTTTCATTTTTTCTGTTTGCCAGTTTTTCCAAAGTTGAAGAAGCTGTGAAAAGATAAGAGTGGAAAAAGGAAAGAAAAGAAAACCTAAATCGCTTCACATTGTTCATTTTATTACCTTCAATAGCAAAAATATAAGGAAGAAGGGTTAAGAAAGGGAAGGTGAAATAAAATGTTCATGTTTTGCAAAATATTGAAAACCTAAAAAGGGGGGTGGGGGAGCTCAGCCTTGAGAAATGGAAACAAAATAACTTTTTAAAGATTTTTTTTCACAAAGTTGATTTTCCAATTTCAAACATTTTGTGACAATTGGTCATTTCTAATATATAAACTAGAGCCCCAAATAATCCTGATGATGACCATGCTAGACATGCTTATACACGCTGATACAATATGACAAGATTTGATAAATCCCAAACATGAAAATGTATTTTAGAAAAGCTAAATGCATTCTAGGTTTATTTTTTCTAACCATCTGATTTCTGAATTTTTGCTTTGTCTCGAGTTCCCCCCCTTCCAACTTCAGTTCTTTTGATAACTTCAGCAGCTCATTTAGTAACATTCTTTTGAAGACATTAAGAGGCATTTCCTTAAGAGTACTATTAAAAGCTTGTGAGTTGTTTCTCAGTGCTTTTTCAAGGGCTTTTAACCTTTATTTTGTTCATGTCGTAGCATGACCACCTTCTGTTGACTCACTGCCTGGTGGTGGTTCCAGTGTACAAACTGGCTCTATTTGATAATGTAGTCACTTGGAATTTATTCTCGCTTCAATGAGATTATGCTTCTTAATTATTTTTGACAGCAATACTCCTATAAGTCCTGTAAACCTTTGGGATCATGGATTGATGACCTTATCTTGCGAGTGAATTTCTTTGCAACCTGGGCACACCAGGCCATCAGCTCTATACAACTAAGGTAAAGTGGAACATGAAAGAATAAAGTGTCAAAGTGCCGGGGAGGAACTATCAGTGAAAACAAAGCACAAAGTGGAGCTCTCCACCAAAGAGCTAGGATGAGATTCTCAGCCTCATAGACTGTCTGTTTGAGGACGCTCTCACAAGCCCTGGCCTAAGAGGCATTACTGAGGGCAAGACCACTTTATCAGAGGTTGGGTCAGAGCCTGCAGGATGGAACAGTCTGGGCTCAGAAGAGCACAAAGGGCTTTAGAAACACAACACAGCATTGCCTGCAGCACAAGAAAGCATGTTAAAATAAGGAGACTTAAACTGAGTAAATAGTACGATGTTATTGGGTCAGTTTATGTAGAAAGGATATAAATTTAATTTTTGTCCAAGTAACTAAATGTTATTATAATGCTTGGAGTCATTGATCAAATGGATTCATATCAAATAATCTAAATCAAAACTGGGTAAATTTGAACTCCAGTTTGTGATAAAAGAATCTGTAACAATATATATTACATACAAGTTAAAGTCCATGCATTGCGTACACTTAAAAGCTAAAGTTCATGTATCAGAAGTGTAACAGCCAAGATCCTGGGGCAGCTGCCACACTCACAGAAGCAGCGACATTTGGTTACCATTGCACTACCAGTGCAAGCACATGGAGGCAGCCAGTTTTTCCCACCCCTCCCCCTCCAAAACTCAGCATCCAGAGCAGCTGCCCCTCACCCCCACCCTAGCATGCCTGCTTCAACAGTCAATGTACATGGCAGGGAATCCTGGCTTTGTTAAAGTCAGTAAAACTTTTTGATTTCATGCTTGCAAGCACATTTAGAGGGGCGCAGAGCCCATCTGCAGACCAAATTGGGCTCCGGCATTTCCCCCTCCCCCCCAGGATGAGGCCCCCAGGCCCAGTACCACCCCCTCCCAGCCCAGTGGTCTGGGTCTCCCCATGGAGCCGGATATCAGGCAGCAGGGAAGCAGTGCCGCTGCTCTCCCACCATCACATTTCTGGACCTGTGGGGAGCTCCACAGGCCAGCTGACAGTGACACAGGCTGGCTCCAGAGCTGGAAGTCAAGCACTCCTGGTTTAGAGCAGAGATGCATTCATACCACTGACTTTGGGTTTATTTTGTGTTTTTAAGAATAGGTTTAAAAATCTAGGCTAGAATAAACAACATGGTAACAGATCTTGTGAAGAGTTTAGACTGCCATAAATATTAGCTTAAAAGTCCCTATACTGAGCCCAAGAATGACAAGCATGTCAGTTTTTAGGTCGCTAGAAAAATGCATCTTCGTCTTGCTTGACTTCTATCACATGACCAGCTGTGCACAAATGTAAGTATTCATGCAAACAAGAAGAGCAAAATTTGGCTCCTAACTTGTATGCTAGCGTCATATAGCTATTCTGCTCACCTATGGAAGAGAAGATAACTGTTGAACTGTGTACACGGAATATGTCATATCAAATTTATAAATATAATAAGTCACAAGGACATACTGAAGAGCCAATTTAAAATTCATATCGTGCATTTAATAGCAAGATTTATTCAATAGCAAGATTTGCTACCATCTTACTGCTTTGGTTTCAGATATTCAGTTTGTAAATATTTAGTTTCTTCACCTATCTTTAGAAAATGTACCAGGAAATTTAGTTCATTTTATAAATAACTAATAAGCAGATATCTTTACAAATAAGTGACAAAGTTGGTCATGTGTGTTCATGTTAAACACCCTACTTAAGCAGTTAATGCACCTTTTATTTAAAAACAGGTATAACAATTTAATGATGTTGCAGAAGCAAGCCAAAGCATCCGGGATATCATTTTTGTCACAAATAACTGAGAATCCCAATGTACCTAACACTGGCATTCAAGGATGCCCTAATCAATTCTGGCTTCCAGGATTTTTCTTCCCACAAGGTATGGTAATAATAGACATTCAGTAACACTAAATAGCCACTATTTTGTTGGGGAAATATAAGTGTGGACCCAACTATTGGCACGCACACGCTTCTTGCACACAAGCTTGGCATCTTGAATAATGATATCCCTCAGGGCTACAGGTGCAGTTAGTGTGGTACAGCTGGAGCCTGGAAATATATCAGCCTTGCACTAAATAAGCAACAGGGTCCGTTCTTTTGTTTGTAGCAAGGCAATTGGAAGGCGTAACTACAGGAGCTCTCTACTTTCCTAGAAATTAGCTATGTGCTTGCAGGTTTCCTGAGCAAGTGTCAACTGCCAGGAGAGGTCATTACAGAAATCTGTCAACAAGTTAATTTCCCACCAAGTGGGAAAAACCACTGGCAGGCCTGTTTGCCACCAGGGTTCTCCTGTTTCAGGGCTGGGCAATCATTTGGGCCCACAGGCCACAAAGGTAGTTTTATTGAGATGTCACAAACCAAGTAAGGACTACAGGTGTGCGAAGCAGGCCCTATTTGATTCAGATTCTGATTCAGCCCGAATCAGGGACAATGATTCGATTTGATTTGATTTGGACCACTCTCCCCAATTTCATTTGGCCAAATCCAAATCTGAAGAGTCAATGCTGATTCAGAGAATCAGCAATTCAGATACAGACACAGCTTTAAACATTTTTTCTACATACCTCAAGGTACCAGTGCATCTTATGATCACTGCAATGCTGGGACGCATGGAGTGTCTCACAGGAGTGCAGGGGAGGCTCAGCCGTGAACCCGGAAGTGAATCGGACTTACTTCCAGTCCATGTTCAGGTTTGTTGGGGAACACAGGCCCCCCCCACTCAGCAATCAGCTATGGGGGGACCCCAGGTGCCCCCCCAGATCCAGAATGCATCAGTTGCCAAGCTGGGGGAGGGAGGGGGGAGCTCCCTGTGCGCTCCCTGGCAAACCTGTAAGTGCTTCCGGTCCACTTGTGAGTCTGCTGCTGAGTGCACTGGGGAGCCCCGTGTGCTCCTGTGGGATGCTCCATGCGCCTCAGCATTGCAGCATTCATGACCCGCCTGCTACCTTGGGGTACGTAGAAAAAATATTTAAAGCTGTGTCTGTCTGAGTCGCTGAATCTTTCCAAATTGATTTGGAGGGTTCCGATTCAATTTAGATTAAAGGGTCCTTTGATTCGATTCAGAGATTTGGCCTCCAAATTGGGCCGAATCTCCACCGAATCGAATCAGGGACCAAAGCTTCGCACAGCCCTAATGAGCACCCTCCCCCTCTGTGCAACGACTCACCAAAGCACCCTATATGGGATGGGGTGGCAGGCAGGCAGAGAGCAGTGTTCAGGAGTGGGAAGGGCAGGGTTGCAACCTGCTGCCCACACACCGCTGAAACAGGCACAGGTTCCATGGACAGGGGCGTGCAGAAAACAATCATAGTTCTGCCCTGGCCGAGGCCCCGTGTTGTCACCACCCCAAGATCCCGGATCCTGTTGCAGCTCCCAGCCTGTCTCCATGGAGACCCCAGGATCTCAGGAAGGTGACAGGGCAGGGCCAGGGCATGCCACAGCCTAGACTGCCACTGTGCCTGGACTACCGGGCAAAAAAAAATATGTATATATAAAAAATAAACTTCGGTCCACCAGCTGCATCCAGCCCATGGCCCATATTTTGCCCACCCCTGCTTTGTCTCCATCAGCTTCCATCTGGCAATATTAGTGTATCATCTACGAGTCACACTTGTTTTTCTCTCAACTGTCAGTATCTAAGGGTACTTGCACAACTTAATATTTTTCACGCGATCTGTCCCCTGAAAGCACTCTACAGCCTTGACATAACATGTTCACAACTACAGTGTTTTTAAAATCGTTCATGGTGTGAAAAATGAATCCTCCATAAATCAGCTATTAGGCTGGAGGTGCTCTAGAGCAGAGCACCTTAGGGCACTTCTGTTCAGGTTCCCTCAAGGGTTAATTTTTAACATGCATGGGGCTGGGCTGGTGCTGTCACAGAAGGGGGGGGGGCAGCACACAGCTGTGGGCTGGGCCTTGCAGTAGGTGGAGCTGGGGGGAGGGGTGGGGTACTGGGAGAAGCCAGGCTGCATCTGAAGCAAGGAGGCTCTGGTCCACCTCCCCACCCCCTAGCTCTGTCCTAATGTCATTTTCAAGTAATTAAGACTGCCAAAGGTCCCTCTAGGGCATGTACTCTTCAGTACAAAAATAAATCACACCAGTTCTTACACTCTGCCAATGCCCATTCACTTAATAATTAGCTTTGATATAATTTTATTATAACTTCTGGCTGATGCCTAGGTTTTAGACACGTCTCACTTAACAAAATGGAAAGGATTCTTTTGGAAAAAGGTGTCCAGTTGATACTGCTCTTACTTTTCAGCAATAAGGGTAATTCAGACTGAGCATTTTGTAAGTTACAAAATAATGCTGCAGCTTATTCAGTGGTACTGGCTATCCATCCCAAGTAATATTCTACCTTTATTTATATTTAAGCATTTAAATACAACCAGACTACTATTATACAACTTTTCAAATTCTGCCAAAAAGTTTTGATTGTATTCACAACTGATTTCAGTGAAAACAAGACAAACATATTGGTTCTTCAACTGTAATAACACCCAGACTGCATCTACACCACTCACATTCACATTAGGTGTAAAATGAGCAGCACAAAATTGACCAAGGGACGAAGGCTGACAATACCCATCCTGATTTTACTGAATGGTTAATGCATTCTTTGAAAAAGCATTACTGTGAAATTAACTCAAATCATGATTACATAACAATGCTGTCTAATATTTTAGCTGGTTTATCTACTTTTATACTGAAAGACAGAAAAATAGCATAATATATTTCTGTGCCGTGGGACTGTTGAACAAATCAGCAGTGGTAGTGATTGCTCATGGTCAAGGATGATCACTTACAGGTCAAATAAAGGGTTGTAAGTGAGTCCATTGATGGCCTTTGGAAAGAAAATATTTGTGAACAAAAAACTGATCTAAAAGCCATTGAGCAGAGGGGAACTGCATGAAGCCAGTTAGTTCTCCAATCATTTTGAGTTCAGGGCAGTAAGGCAAATGCAGTTTAATTTGAGGCCCATCTCAAATACAAACTAGGATTGTTCTTGTTCCCCTCTTCCTGCTTCTCAAGTACAGAATGCTTGCATGTCACACCCAGCAAACAGATTATTCTCTCTCATTCCTCTAGGCTTTCTTACTGCTGTGCTTCAGAATTATGCCCGCCAGAACGGCATACCAGTGGATACTCTTACATTTGTCCATAGAGTTCTCCCAATGACTGAGGATGAAGAATGTCATCTTAGAGATACAAAGCGAAAACAGAATATACTTCTCACTGCTTTTAAGGTAGAAGATGCAATAATTTAAAGCCAGCAACTCTAGATGTAGCAGGCAAATTCAAGCCTACAGCAGAGGGTTGCTTTATTTTGTGTGCTACTTGTACCTTCTGCAGGCTATTCCTTAACTGCTCCATTTAATTTCTGTTCATAGTGCTCGTAGGGTTTGTGAGTGGGTTTTGGTAGCAACGCATATCGGAGTAACACACAACTACCTACCTCACAACAGCTCATTGAGTGAAAGTCCATTTGTAGCTGGTGCCAAGGGTTAATGTATCCATACAGTACCTTTGCTTTGTAAGAACTGTCCATTTATAGTTTAGTAAAGAATTAGACAATACAAAGTATTACCCTGGAGAATGATGAGGGTCCCTTGTGGCACTGGGAAGTTTCTGCCCTGACAACCATAAAACAAAATTCATTCAAAAAGCAGAAGGGGGGGAGGAGGTTACAGAAAATCCATTAATTAGCTTTAGGACACATTGTGGTGACTTGGGCTGCCTCTTAAAAAGCAAGTTTTGGTTTTATTACATCACAATATGTAACGTAATCATAATGATTGAATAATCATTACCAATACACGTAAAAGCACTTCAGAACTGAAACAGTTCAATACTTTTTAATATAGTTTAGCTTTTCTGAAAGCTTAATGCTGGGAAAGACATGTTCTCATCCTAAGAACATATAACAGCTCAACAAAGCATTTTCTTCTATCTGATCATAGGGATCTTCCCACCCTGAAAATGGTGTTCTAGTTTTTGGCTTATATATAGATAGTGCACGATGGAATACAACTACCAATCTGCTGGAAGAGCCCTGGCTTCAGGAGAGATTTTACCCATTCCCCAAAATGGTTTTTATACCACACAAGGTAAAACTTATGCTTCTTAATCAAGTTTTGCTAGCAGTAGTCTATGCAATTTAAGCAAACAAATGTGAATTTCATAGCAGTTGACTGGCTGTTGTAAATGCTAGTAGCCTCTCTTTTTAGGCTTTAACTGCCATTTTTCCTCCAGGAAAGGCTAAATACAACTCTATAAGCCAATGATATCAGATGCCTTCATGAAAGTTCATTTTCATTTGATTGTTTATAAACCAAAAGAACAACTACTTACTTGACCTATATACTTGTCCATAATTGTAAAATATAAAAAGAATTTAACCAACTTCTACACAACCTAAAATAATTTTATTTTTAGGTTAGCACTTGTCCAGAAGAAAAAGACAACCTAATGCTTTATGAATGTCCACTTTACCAAACTCCCCAAAGAGCTGGAATACTGTCGTCGACAGGTCTGTCCACTAACTTTGTAACAACAATCAATCTGCCAACCCTAAGAACTCCAAGCTACTGGATAACAAGAGGGGTTGCATTGTTATGTCAACTGGATCAGTAAAATTGGGAAAGGGGGAGGCAGGGGGGATTGGGTGGGAGGAGCAAAAGTCCATAAACTCCATCTGCTGGAAAGGTGTTTTATTCTCTTGAAAGAGTGGTTATACTGTGGAAACTATCAGTAATTCATCTGAATACAAGTGCTATTTAAAAGGAACAGGAAATACTTTAAAAAATGTGAAAATCCACTCCTTGGATTAAATAAATCTTATGTATATCAAACTATGTATTTTCAGTCTATTGTGCACTTTCTTCTTGTGTTGGTTCTCTACAAAAGATTGAATTAGGTTAACACATGTCCACAAGTAGTACACGACAACATAATGCTTTATGAATGTCCACTTTACTGAACTCCCCAAAGAGCGGGAATACTGGCATGGACAAGTCTGTGCCGTGACTTTGTAACAACAATCAATCTGCCCACCCTAAGAACTCCTGAATTAGCTGATGAATTCTCTACAAATAGGTTTGAGATATAGATTCAGACACTCTGGGGTAGAAACAGGCATCCTGTTTATGGCAGGACAAATTGCTCTGTCCTTGGACAGAGCAGTTTCTGTTCAGACATCCTTCACAAGTGTCCCAGGACAAAGCACAAAATCTGCTGCCAAAGTGTGTGGTAATAGTTTGTCCCAAGACATCGCAAAGGGCATCAAACTGTACCCAGCCATGTGGCAGAAGAGAGAACCTAGGCTTCCCATCCCACAAGCCACTGCCTTCTGTCCCAATCCCAGTCCAGCCTCTTTTCACCCCAGAACATGCACATTTGCAAGTGCAAAAGTAATAAGGGGTTGGGGGGGAAATCCTTTGCTCTGCAACATGAAGCATGTGCCCCGGAACCCCCTGCAGAAAGGAAAGGTAGCATGGGTTTGTTGTTTCAGTAAAAAGTCTTGAGGTTCCCATACAGTTGCTGATACAGAAGAGGCAATACCATTATTTTTGTAGTCCCCCAGATGCAAATGCCTGAAGGGCCAAAAAAGGTTAAGTGAACACAATGTCACCTGAAGACTAGTTTTGGTAGCAACGCATGTAGTTAGATACAGAAGTGTGCAGTCAACTATACACTAAGCCATTTTTAAACAAAACTTTATTGAAGCTTACAAATGTGTTTGTATTAAACATTCTACTTGCAAGTCAATTTTACAACAAAAACACAAGAGTGGACAGAATTAACATCAGCCAGGACCCATGTCTCTGAAGGAAGAGTACACAGAATGCTAAATCACTTGCTCTCATCATGTGGTGACAAAATTTAGTAAGTCTCCTTCAATGCTGTTACAAACACCACTACTTTTTTTTGTTCCAAGAATGAAAATGTCCAGATTAGAACATTTTCCCTAGAATAGCTACATGGACCTTCTGAGGCCATAGCCTGCTGAAGAACAGACATGATCATCTTCAGCAAGTTCTGCTATATACACTTCAAATGTACAATAGTAACTAAAATGGCTCATGTACAAAATAAAGCATTTTAAACGCACACTAGATTTCAATTACATCACTATTTTAAAACACACTTAACTATTCAACCTAAAAACAAAACAGAAAACTCGCTACAAAATCATAACCATGCAGGTACTTAAATTTCCCTTCACAGTAAAATTAAAATAAGAAAATTATTAGTAAGTCTTTTTGGGGGCAATTTGTGCCCTACATCCTCTTACTGGAAATACCCAAAAAACTACCAATTTTAAAAAAAGACAGAAAAGGATAAAAACTAGTTCCTAAAGTTAATCAATACAAAAATGTTTTAGCATCTCTCTGCCTTATAAACTTCATGTATTAAAATGCAAATTTATCCACTTACAATTTATTAAGTAGAAATTAAACTATTGCAATAGGGGAGGATTCACAGATATTGAGACATAACTAACTGAAGTTGCTAAGAAACTCACATTAGTTAAAAAAAAAGTCAAAATATATACAAAAATATATTAGCTAGCGTGGTTGTAAGCTTAAATCACAGGTTAATGTAAAAAAATTAAATAGCGATAGTGAAAAACTAGCTATTTTTCCCTATTTGCAACAGTATAAAAGGCAAACCTGCATTTGAGGTAGCGTTGCCAAATTCACAAACTTTGGATTGAAGAGCATATTTTCTATATTTTCATAGCATATTTGTCAATACAATATTTAAATGAACACTTCAATTGTTTCAGGAATTAAATCCATACATTACTTTACAAAACCCTTATTAAAGGACAGTTTTTAAAAAAATACTGGAAATGGTTTTAGTTAAAAAGCTTCTGCTCCTACACAAGTTATTGCATTTCACATTCAAACACTGTACAGCAAAACCAGGAAGGTTTATATTATACAATCAGAGGGTGCTATGGTACATTTAAGACATATTTTACATAACACAGTGTAAGCCAACTATTGCCATTTTATTTCAGAGGCAGCACAAGCCTGCATCACACCCTAAATTACCTTTAATTTCTCATGGGATGCAGCACTATGGTTTTTGGCTGCTCATGTCCAGAAACCAGCTAGCAATTCCAGAACAAGCTGGCTGAAAATCCTGTTATTCCTTTAGTAGAAACAAAGACCTATTTTACATCACAGTGTTCAATGAAATGTAATTTAAAAATGTAAACCCAGAAAATTAAACCTGAACTCAAAAAAAAAACCCAGGACTCCAAAATTAGAAAAAAAACACAGATACAAACATTTCCATAGTTTTGATTGACCTTGCACTAAATTCTTCCTCCTTTTCAGAGTTATTTCTAAAAGTCACGAATGAGACAGTCCATTTAACATAACTAATGCACATAAGGTTATTTGTTAAATGCAGCTACTACACTGGACTGCTTAATCACATCTTTAAAAGTCTAAATAATTTAACAAATAGGCCAAGTGCAAAGGTAAGAGGTATGCTATTATTTGCAAAATAGCTGTTATTTCTTAACAGTTTGCAAACCATGTTCCTGGACTGTTTAGTAGATGTAAGGAATTATGCGGTATGGTACACGCTGACAATACCTGTCCCACGCTAAACCATATTTTTTCTTACACTGACGTCCATCACGAGCTTCTCGATGAATAATGAACAAGGTGAAGTAAATCACATAGAAATATGGTAAAATGTGATTAAAGCCTGTAAACAGAGTTAGAGAGTCACTGAACATTTCCATTTAGCTATTTGGATAGAGTACAAAATATAAAGCTTGAAATGCATGACATGCTGTGGGATTTCCAACTGTCAGCTCCCTCAAACAAGGGTTCAGGGCTATGAACCTCAACTGTAGATAGACAAGTCCCCGAGAGGGGTAAGATTAGGACAGTCCCGTTTCCAGTGCTTCCCTACTGGCTGGGTTAGGCAGCTCCTCACTCAGCGTGCTGACTTTTGGGAATAGCATTCTCGGTTATCTGATTTCAAAATGGAAATTCAGCTTGGTGCCCAAAAGTTAAGCATCACAACACTGAGACTAAATTTCTATTGAGATCCTAGCCCTTGAGCTCTATTTTGGACTAAACTGTTTTGGGGATTGTTTTTCACTTGTTTGTATGTGAACATGATAGGCACAAAGAATGCAGGAGAAAAGGATGATTCAATCTGATCTATAAAACAGAGCAAGCAGTGTGGGGGGGCATTTTTAAATATTAAAACAAATTATTTTGCATTGGTACTCACTGACAACAACAAATAAGGATACTCAGCCAAAACAATGATAAAAAAGGGCTCTGAGAAATGCATACAAAAGCAAGGAAGCGCAGAGTTAAAGTTGTATCGTGACCAGGATATATTATCTCCACACTCAGAATTAGAAAAGAATTTGGGTAGTGAAGTTTAAGTGAATTTAAACTATCATAATTTCAGCTTCTAAATATTTGACTTGTTTTCAGAAAACTATCAAACAAATCAAATTAAAAAAAACCTAAGTTGTACATTTCCTCAATTTCCATTCCACTTGAAAAAGAAATACCAAGGAATAAATTTCATGAGGTTTAAAATAAAAAGAACTAAGCGATGCTCAGTAATAAGATTTCCAATACAACTGCATCCATTTGCATTTGATCAGACAGATGAATCTGAATATTTTATAGTAGCAATCAGGCCTTGTAGTAGAGATGATATCTTTTATTAGACCAA